AATGTAATTTCGTTGATTTGTGTAATCTGTGAAGATCATATGATAAAATTTTGGATGTGACAAATCGTGTGACTGTTATAGTCGTTTATCTTCAGCACCATAGGTGCATTTTACATAGCAGATAATAAAAAATTGTACGTATACAAATAAAAAATATACGTATTTACGTATGTTTTTTGTTTATGAACTTGCTAATTTTAAATTTTACTAATTAACAAATAATCTTTACTGTATATAGATACTGTAATTCATTACGTATTAATATAAAAACTAAAAATGGTTTTTATGATTTTGTTGTTTTAAAAAGTATACTTCAATTAATTTATCCGGGCAATTGAATTATATCAGCGCATCAGAAGAAAGCCTGTCTACAGTATGATATAAGTCATAACTATGATATATTAACTTATTAACTAGCACCGGTCCAGTACGTAATTAAAATTAAAACTTCGTTATTCGGAGACAGTGGACTAATCAGTAATATCACTCTTATAAACAATGAAACATGTAAAAATGTGCAGCATATTTTTACATATTTCATTGTTTACAAGTGCAATATTAGTCGACCAAGTTTCTAATAACACTTGTAGCGAGATCGATTGCTATACTTAATGTTAACAATAAGTAACGATACTGATTCTGCGATAGTTACCAAAAATAACCAATCACACAAAGTCTTCCCATGAATGTTACGCTTAGACGATCATTTTTTTTAAAATGTATGATTGGTTATTTTCATAAATAAAATATTATTAATAGAAAGAATCACACTAATATCGATATTCAGTTGAAGTCGTGAAGAAGCAAAACTAATAAAGTATATCTTTAATTTTATTTTCGTATTTTCTACTAATTATTTTCGCTTTTAGATGTCGGAATTACTTTCGGTAAACAAGCCTCAAGAAATGAGCGCCGCTGTAGTAAACGAGGACATCGACGATAGTTGGTTTAAAAACACAGATAACCTTCTGATCGATGACGATATCCCTTTGGATTATAATAAACTTAGTTCTGCCGAAGATGTTGAGTTCTTCAAATTATTAGAAGCAGATTCACTAAAATATACTGGGAAGATAAGTGCGCAGCAGGAAGAAAAAGAAAATCAACAACCACTACAACAGGGTAACGAAACATTTTTGCGTGATTTTAGAGGTGATGTATCTGAGCGTGTAGAAGAAACTAAGCTGACACAAGAACAAGCCGACATGGAAACGAAACTTTCAGAAGAGCCTGTATATAAGTTTGACGAGAATGATACAGAGCTCTTATCAGAGGAAATCGGATTAAATACAGCTGATGAATCTTTCAATGAAAATGTAATTGTTCTTGAAGATGATGATTTAGATAACATCGATGACGGGGTTATACCTGATGACTTGGAAAATGAATCAGACCTTTATTTCGGTAAGCAATCTCCCCCAAAAGAAAATGACGATTCAAATAGTGGACAATCCCGTTGCATCCTGGAATATGAAGGCCAAAAGAATCATATATATATCAAGTCTGATAAATGCTTGGGGGAGTTAATGCAAGATCTCAAAGACGACCTCATTAGTGACAGAACACAAGATCGTGAGGTGGTGTTGACATTTTTAGATTCAACCATTGACGATTTTCGATTAGTTTTGTCTCAGGTATCGTTATAATTAATTATACATTGTTATTAAACTATGGAGTTTAAACTAAGGCTTAATTATAATGTATATAGGACAATAAATATTCACAAGAGTTTACTCTTGGCAAAATTGTTAATGTCCATAATAAATATCGAAAATCTCGTGATCTTAATACAGCAGATCTTCACGTAGTAATGACTTTACAAGACAGATTCATTTCACAGTACCGAAAATATGATGGTACACATTTTTGATTTCATTATTAAAATTATGAAATAGTTATTTGTTTTTTTGCATGTTAATATTTTAATTATATAAAAAATTTTCATATATCTTATTTTAGATGTCGCCGGTGAGAGGGCGCAAAATCCAATTATCGTCGGAGACTCTTCGCCTGAACCTTTCGATGATGGCGATAATGTTTTGCCAACATCTCCCGGTGAAGACGTCACAACAAAAATAGGCCAAGTATCTGGGACAGGTAATTCATTTTTTAAACCATCAAAAGACGCGTCTTTGCCACTGTCTAAAGATGTAAATGACGAACAATTCAACGGTATTAGAGAAGTAAATGATGGTATGTCCTTTAAGTTTTATATAATATGCTTGCGTGTTTACCCAGAATGAATTATAATACACATTTACAATATAGATCTTCCTCCTTATTCCGGTGACGAAGATGATGGTAGTGTATGGGAAAATGATGAGCATGAATTTTATGACGAAGATTCTCAAACTTATAATCAAACGCAAGGAACGTATAGTGAAACAGATGAGTTATATGTTGGTGCACAAGAGCCTTATGTAGATTTAGGTGAAGATGATGAAGTGAACCATCTTGATGAACAACTAGAATCAAATGATCTACCTAGTGATAAACATAATGACTTACGTGAAGATATTTTTAATGAAGACTCATTAAATGACATTAATGATTTAGCTGAGAACTTTGATGAGTCTTCATCCTATTACGATCAAACACTAGATAATAATAATATTATTAAGGGGGGTATAGACGTAGAAACGTCAGAAATAAATGAACAAAACATTTTGGAGGTGTCAAAGGAGCCTGAAGAGGATATTGACGACAATATACCATCAATAACAGGTTAGATTAAAATAGCCTATATCTTCAAATTAATTACTAAATTATGGTATTTATGTTAAACCTATATATATCTGCATTTTTTTTTCTTTAGAACTTGGTGACGGTAAGGAATATGATTTCTCAAGTGTGTATGGTTCAAAAGAAAATGATCTGCTCGCTCCGATTGATGACGAATGGGCGGCTGATTATACTGCAAGTGAGTTTGATCCAACGATAAATGATAATGAGATAAGTGATAATGAGACAATAGTCTCCCAAGGAAAACGAGAGAGACCTGACGCGGACGATAATGAAGGTATGATTGAAATATCATTTAATCAAATAGCTGAAGTAATTTATTAATCTCAATTTATTATTTTATTATAAGACGCTAACAAGAAGGCCCGTATAGATTGAATGGTTTGAAACATATTTCTCCTTATTCTTTATACCAACCTGTTTAGATCCTTTTTTCTTTTATTACCTTTTTTCTTGATTATTCACTTATTATTTCATTCCCTTATTTGTACGTTTCTTGTTCCGTGTATTGCTTTCGTTTACGTTTACAGCGGTTCATTGTCCAATTCTATCTATCTCTGTACATATAATTAGAACTAACCAACACATGTTTTGCTGATACTAAAAAAAAATAATAAAACATCTACAATTACTTGAGATTGGTTTAATAAGCTGAGTGTGGCTACAAGAAGTGTAAAATATTAATACCTAATTGAAGCAGTCACCATGTAAATTCGCGCATTAGTGATATAATTACAAAATCTACCGTATTACCGCGAAATAACGCACACCTGCGCGGTGTTTCGATCACCTGCGCGCTATTTTGAGTGCGCGCATGTG